ATAAAATTGATATATAATCCATGGAAATTAGTACATTATCCCCTCTGGTCAGTGACCAGTAGAGCTAAAAATTATATTTATATTTTGCAGTTATCAATTTATTCACACTTACAAGGAAACTTTAAGTTACTTTTTACATATATTAGTACTTTAAAACCGCATATTTGCAAATATTTACTGATATTCTCTTATATAGTGCTACTTACCATTATCAGAATCTGAATCCATAATTTCTGCCGTTACCCTACCATTGTCATCAAATAACATTCTTAGAGGGGTGGTGGTAACTTTTCCTAGAACAATTGAATCCCATGGAAACTGTTTCCCTGGTAGAAAAAGAAAATGGAAATTATATGAATTTATGCCCTCTGAATACATTATAAATACACACCAATGTTCTGAATTTTAGTTTTGGAACCTTTGTGGTTTGGTAAAATACCTGTCCCAATTCCATATGCTCTCCAGACTGTGAGGCCAGAAGCACCAAACACAAAATTTTGGAATTTTGCGATGGATGGGATACTTTTGATAGGCTTGTCTCCTTCAAGTACTACAGCAGGGCTTACAACCTTTACTTTGTACTGTCCATGTTGCTGTGAATCAATTGCCTAAAACAATGAAATACTGTTTTCAATAACAAATGAACATGTCAAGATTTTAAGCTACAGTTTATGCAAACATAAGATGCTTTTTTCTGTCTAAATGAACCAAAATATACATTTTTCATATCTGCAGCACAAGTAACATCATGTCCCTCATTAATGTAACGCTTAATGGAAGACTTCAGATGTGATGCCTTCCTGTCACACACACCTTTACCATCCTGAGCTTCACTGAAACTGAAGGAGTGAAGACGACTTCCAAGCTCCTGATGAAGAATGGCAAAGGTTAGGGAGCTTTTATAGCACCCTGCATTATCTGTCCAAAAATTGACTTTAGATATACCTTGGACAGTTCGAACAGAGTCTGATAAAATTGATGCTGTCACTGCCGAGTCCTGTGGAAACTGGCCATCTAGTATGTGGACACAGGTTGACATTTCTGTTTCCCGCTTTCTCTTCAGGAAAATTACGGTAATATGCCAACTAATGCCTCTTTTGGCAAACCAATCTGTTTGCCCTTCACGATACTTTCGTGGAAGAAATGTCATTGCCCAATCACCAACTATGAAAGCTTCACCGTCTTTCAGCGAATCTGTTATATTCTGCCGAGCACGTTCTTGATTTTTTGATCTCATGATATGGCATCTCCATTCATATGCATGTATCTGTGAGATGGCATTTTCTACCTGCAACATAAAATATTTGCACCCTCTATCTAATATGTATATTAAACTACATTTGTACATGCAACTTTTTACAGCTATCTCTTTTTATAGATACATTTTTACAAACATTTGGAAATGGTTGTTATCAGAAAAGATATTAAGCAAAACTTAAACTGGGATATTTTTGTTGTGACAAATTAATTTAAATTAAAGAAAAGTCACCTTAAAGAGAAATGCATCAATGTTGTCCCAGTTTCTTTCTGATGTCTTTTTCAGAATCAAGTCCAAGGTATCGTCTAAACTCTTACAATCATGGCAAACCTGGTCATGTTCATGGTCATTGCATGGTTTGTGAAAGTAATCAAAGATGTCACTTAATGCATAGGAACAGCAGTGGTAAGCCACTGAAGATTGCAAAGAGATGTGCATCTGAAATATTTCATAAAATATTGAGGATCAAGCATATTAAAAGAAAGTAATTGTTTTTCATTTTATACACCTTAACTGGAGGGATTCTAAATGTAACAGAATGTTTTAGACGTGCAAAGAAATTTACCTTGTACTCAGACTTCAAGTACTGTTTAGCTGCAGCAAGCTTAGAAGTAATTTGCTGTCTTTCATGAATAGTGAGGTCAAGATCTCTGATGACATCTTCTAAGTCACTGAATGCCTGTCCTCCCTCCACAACAAAATAATCAAGACCCTCTAATGAGTGGCGGATAGATGCACTACAATCTTGGAGAATCTTGAACAGGGTACTGTCTCCTTCAGAAAAAAAGAGATAAAAAAAAGAAATTGATAACCATTATCTTTCATTACATAATTATATTTAAATGAATAAAATTCAAATGTTTAATTGTACATAAAAAATATATACTGTATACAGTGAAATTTTCGCCCCCGTTTTATTTTCGCCCCTTTCGCCCTATCCTCATTTGGGCGAATTTAAAACGGGGCGATTTCAAAGAATACAGTATAATTTCTTAAACAAAACTGTGACTGGGCAAAATTAAAACGGGGCTAAATTGTTTGCAAGTATGAAAGGGCGAAAATAACACGGGGCGAAAATAACCCGGTATACAGTATTTATTTAATTAAATTTCAAATCTGCATGTGTAAAATAGCTTTAAGATATACAATGTGTATACCTAAACATTCCATATTTTGCTCTTGGCATAACTGCTTGTATTGTCTCACTACACTAGCTGGTGCCAGGCTCCTTATAACATTTGGAATCCTGATCGTTTCTCCAGTAGATAGAACTAGTGTTCTTTCTCCAAATGGCAGATCCTTAATAATGTTGCCTGAAGTAATGAAGTCAATGAAATGCTCCAACTGACTGTCTTCATACTTATGACGGCATTGCTTTTCAGGATTTATTGGTGCCCCAATTCCATCTTGTTTCATGTGCTTCTTAGCTGTATAAAAGCGATATCTTGTGAGATCCGGGATAACTCTGGAAACTTCTTCAAAAGAAAAGTCCATTGTTACCATAGACAGTAGTTGTCGACGTAGACACCAGGATTCTGCTTTTTGGTATGTGGCGGCTACGGCCTGTAAGAATTGTTCTTGTGAATCCTTGTCCCCTTCTGAGTTTTCTACATCACCATAAGCTTTATATAGCTTTTTCTTAATACTGTCTGACTCTTCTGAGAATATGGTATCAAGAACCAGAGAAACACATTGGTTAGCTTTTGCGTAGTATCTTCTTTGAGTTCTTTCACTTGAGTCATGCAACCTGTTCATTAAAGATTTCACTGGACTTACTCCACATGCTGTCAGAAATTCATTAAGTTTCTCAAATCTTTCTTCTTGCATAGCAGAGGCTTCAGTTCCTTGGCTCTCAGTAAACTGGTGATCACTTGAGTGACTTGACTGGCTCGACTGACTTAATGCATAACTCAGGTTCTGCTAAAATGAAATAAAATATCATCAGGTCACAATTGATTGACTATGATATTGCACGTACCAGATAATCTTAGCTTACACAAGTTACTGTAGATCACTTAATTTTCGCGACACCTTCTTTTCGCGAGATAGTGACATTGGCTCTTTATAAGCGATACAAAATTTTCACGAATTGTGGTCATTGCCTTATATAATCTTAAGGAATTCTATTATACACGAGAATGAAATTTTTGCAATCATACCGCCTCACGTAATTATGCGAAAATAAAGTTCTCCCAAATAAAAAGTGATTTACAGTATTTGACCAGTTCCGAATAAGAAAAGGATTCGGCTGTACTATAAATATACATGTACGAGGCATTATTTCAAAATCTTAATTTTTGTCAGTTCAATGAGTTGTGGAATTAAATATTGTTTCATCAAAGTTCAGCCTTTCCCCGGGCCCCCAAAAAATTATTTTGCAAGTTGACATAGGTGTCCATTTTACCACTTACGAATAAGCCGACGAGTTCTGAATACAGTATATCAATAAATTTTATTCAGTGGAATGGATTGATTGTATATTGTTTAATGTCCCTCTCGAGAATTTTTCACTCATGTGGAGACGCCACCACTTGCCAATGGAATGCTGCAATTTTTGTCTATACTCGACACTCAGGGCCATTGAGCATGGAGGGATCTTTTGAGTGTCAGCACCTACTGCGACACAAGACTTCGGTTTATACGGTCTCATCTAAAGGACAGGTCTTCATGTCCCACAGTGGGATTCAAACCCGCGAGATATGCAGTTACCCTAAAACATGTCATTCACAAAAAATGGAATCGTTTTACACACTAATAATTTTCTTATGCAACTGATAGAGACATTTCAGAAAAAAGTTGATTACTTAGCATTGCTAGTGATCTTTTTGATGGAAGGTCATCTACACAGCTTCTCTTTCGCTTAAGATCAGAGGTAGAACACTCAAAATCCTGCTGAAATGTTTTATCAAAATTTAATAGATAGAAGTACTTTAAGAATTTGATACTTAAACAGAAAGCAAACATGTAGTCGGACAAGTAAATGTAAGAATAAGAAATGATTGCTATTTTATATTGACATTTCAGAATTAATTACTACTACCGATAAGTATAGAATAAGATAAATAATAGGTATTGATACTTTTACAAAAAATCATCCGAGTAACCGGGTACTCGATCGGAAGATGAAGCGAGTAACCGTTTACTAAAAATCATCCGATTTGCCAACACTATTAAATTGTAGGAAAACAATATAATTATATAAGAATAAGATGATAAAATACCTTCTGATATTCAGATGAAACTTCTTGTTTGTTCTCAAAAACTCTTTCCCTGCACAGTCTGCAAATGGCTGTAAAATATTATACAGTGTATGCTACATGTATCATTTATTTTTGTCAGAAGATATAAAAACTTCTTGAATGACAATAATAATTCAATATTTTTTTCTGTTGATCTGTGTTTTCTTCCTTATATAAAAGAAAGATTTTAATTTTTGGTTGAATGCTCAACATAAAAATATTATGGAAGGATCTACTCAAATTTGATGATAAAATATTACTTATATGTAAGTGTATATACTTTTTTCACATGATATGATTAATGACATAATTTAATATATGCATACGTGTTCCAACAGGAATAACAACTCCAGCAACCTGCTGTATCCTGGCACACAGCTCTGCAGTAACATGTCTTTCAGCCTTTTTTTCTGTATCATGGAATTGAAGTGAAGATTGAATTTCCCCAATACCACATCTGGTCCGACGATTTCGCTTTGATACATTTTCAATAATAAATTCTTTATGACCTTCACATATCTCTAGGTTACAGTTCAAATTAGATAAACTTAATGATATCTCTGCTAAAACTATGATTTTAACGTCTCCTTCAAGGCATTCTAAAGACGATCTAAGGCCCGAGCAGCGCAATGAAGTGACACTGTGTAGATGTTTGCCAATATCACAATATCCGCTCATCTTCTTCACTCATCCACTCATTAAAATCTTTAATATTAAAAAAAATAAATGTAATTATTTTCAAATTGCAAAGCAAAAAAGTTGATGTGACAACACTGACATGCATGAAGTCCCAGGACTTTTGATATCATATTCAGGTTTGCTAAATTACTAGATTTAGCTATGCAGCTTGATCTTATACCTACTTAGATGTCTAGAATTTTATCAGTATCTTATTATGTATCAAAAGTAAGATTACATAATTGGAATGGACATCAGTCCTCTTTAAGGTCAAGGTTACAAAAGTTAGGAATTGACAATGATTTACAATTATGAAATTTCCTTATAAGTTAAGAAAATTGTGTCTACTCTATTTATTTTATGACTGCAGCCCTCTGGTAATCACTGGCTGAGACTGCTCATTGATAATAATTATTTTCTTTCTTATGAGAGAGAATTAAAAAAATTATTATGTTTCCCATATTCTTGAATTATTTTGTACCTGACAGTTCTTCTGTATAGCAAGTTGTCCTGGAATTCTACAAAAAGAAAACAACAGAAATCAAAATCAAAGTAAATACATTTTATTATAAAATCTCCAAATTATAAGTTTATTCAGTACACAACTTTGGACAATACAGCCCATCAGTTTACAAAATGACAAATATACACATATTTATACAACATATGATACAATCGACTCTCAAAGAGTCTAAACTGGGGGGGTGAAACCCCAGGTCATGTGTTCCTCAGTCCCACAGCTAAACTGGGGGGGGGGGGGTGAAACCCCAGGTCAAGTGTTCCTCAGTCCCACAGTTCCAATCATCATTTATGGAATACAATTATAATGATTTTGAAATTAGCAGTACAGAATTATTCAAAGATAGAGTACAATATACAACAATGCTATTTTGATATACAGATCTGATGTACAGACATAAATATAGAAAACTTACATGTAAGTCAACCTGCTACAGTGTTTTCCACTACGAATTTTACCTTCAAACGTTGGAGAGTTCTTAAAGGGGAAGTAATTCGATTGTAAGAAATGCCTCAAAATATAGGGAATTAGACAATTTACCTTTTGAATTTCTTTTACATACATTATTTGCCCACCAATATTTTGCTCATTTTAAATTAACCACATACTAGTCTTTCATATCCAATAATCGAAACATTTGCACATCGCTGCATTTTTTTGTTTGAAGTGTCTGAAAACTGATCAAAACTAACCATACCTATGATATGTTGTCCTACATATTATGACCATTTAAACATTAGAAATTAAAATAAAACTGTAAATATTCTTGTTTGAGTCTCTAGTCTTAGACTATAAAAATGAAAGAAAAAGTGAGCTAGCTCACATACCCCACGCTCCCCCAAAACTTGACGGCGAAGCACATAATGAAAGGCACAGTGCACTTTAAATACATAGTATAGATCAAAAAGGGCAATAATTGCAAAAAAATCTCCACATCAAAATGTCTTACATATGAGGACATTTAAATGTGGAATGAAGTTTCTAGATAAATAATGGAATCAAAATTCCTTGGCATTATACAAATCCAAACATTAATTTGAAGTGGGGGGAGGGGGGGGGGGAGAGAAATTTTCTTGAATAATAGGCAAAACTCTTTGGGATAAAATAAACTATGTACAACAGTTTAAGCGAGTGGTGCTGACAAACTGTTCATCTCTATATTCTAAATATGGCCAAAAAGTCTAAGTTGGAAAGTGTGGAAATTCCCTGAAAAAATAATGGAATTGGAATTTCCTGGTAATATGCACATCTACATATTGTGTCCTAAATATCTACAAAGTTTGACGAAATTCTGTGCAGCGGTTTTTGAGGAGTTGCGCTGACAATCTGTTCATCTCTATATTCAAGGTATGGTCAAATGCCTAAGTTAAAAAGTGAGGAAATTCCAGGAAAAATAATGAAATCGGAATTTCCTGGTAATATGCACATCTACACATTGTGTCCTAAATACCTGCAAAGTTTGACAAAATTCTGTGCAGCGGTTTATGAGGAGTTGCGCTGACAAACTGTTCATCTCTATATTCAAGGTATGGCCAAATGCCTAAGTTAAAAAGTGCGGAAATTCCCGGAAAAAATAATGGAATCGGAATTTCCTGGTAATATGCACATCTACACATTGTGTCCTAAATACCTGCAAAGTTTGAAAATTCTGTGCAGCGGTTTATGAGGAGTTGCGCTGACAAAAAAAGAGGACTGACTGACTGACGGACTGACTGACTGACTGACGGACGGGTCAAAAACATTATACCTCCCGCAACTAGTTGCGTGGGGTATAATAAACACAAATTTAGTCATGTCTTTTAATTTCATGACAGCATTTTTCATGAAAAGTACACATTTTCAAGATTCACAAAAATCAGAAAGTTTGCATCTCGTTTCCATGACAACCAAGGATAAATTTTAAAAACTAGTTTTAGATTTTACAATCACTCACACATCTGTATTAAATTATAGTAGAAAAATCAAAATCTGTAACTATGCGTGGCCAACCAATTTTGATAGTTACAGAGAATTGGTCTTAATTTCTCATATGAACTATGAAGAAATATTTTAAAACATGCACATGATGATGACATGATGAAATTCTTTTTTTTTTCATCAAAGCAATGAAAATCTTTATCATTGTTTGAATAATTTTCATTTATTTCTTCAGTAGGCTTTTATCTGTCTACTGGATTATGATTTTGTAATAATTATGATTTATAATTTGTATGGTAGAATATTGCTGAGAAAAAAAAAATGTTAGCAAGTACGAGTTACTTTTCCAACGAAATACCAACACAGGACCCAACAATAAGAACATACATAAACCCATCAGTCTTCATTGGCCCAACATTGAACCAACAAAATTGTTAAATGTTGGGCCAATGTCATAAATGAGATACCAACCTTGTGTCAATATAGGGCAAACATCATACAATGGGACAATGTCAGATACCCAACTGTCTAACGTTGGGCCAAGATCAAGCCAACCTGTTGGTCGAACGTTGGGCCGATGAGCAAGATGATGTTGGCCCAATGGAAAAAACTGACAATGGACAAACGCAATATTCAACGTTGGGGTTGCGTTGGCCCACCGACAGCTTGCAATGTGAGATTAGCCAATAAAAGGCAAACACAGATAGCTGAGGGACAAACTAAGTCCCAAGGCCAGACTTGATTTAGCTAGGGAACTAATGCCGTGTATCTTGAGGTTGGCATAAAATCAGAAGCAGCGAGCCATGTGGCTTATCATAACCAAGTGAAGTAAACTGCTCGAGGGACGTTAAACAACATACAATCAATCAATAAACTGCTCGATACCCTGACTGGGCATAAAAATAAGAGCCAATGACTATCAAAGACTAAGTTAACCAATCAGAAAGCATCTATTAAAAGTATAGCGTTTCCAAGTAAATACTTATCACATTCATATTTTCGTAGCTCCTGATAATAATTCCTCTTTGTAATAAAACACAAAATAGCAGTAAATGTTTATTCAAATCCAAATGAAAGTAAAATATAACCCAATCAATGTTATACAGTGTAAAATCAAAAGACTGAAAGGCACTTAGAATAATTATTCTTGAGTAACTCAAGTTAAATTCCCATTATTAAAATACTCTTCCAAAATACTCCCAATAAAAATCCACTCATCCTAAATAAAACCATAACTCTCTCTTTTCAAGTTGGGCTTTAAAAAAAATTGTGCAACATTTCTTCCTGCTAAGCTTTGCACCCGTGCGAAAATAATGACACAAATTGAAAGCCTTTCAAACAAAAGTAAGACAATGTAAATAATCAAACAAAATCAATGATGTACATCCTCAAATTAGCAATGATGACATAGCTCTTTAGGAAGGTTACAACAAACTTTTTTCAAAAACAAAAGAAGTTTGACGAAGTTCTCGTTAATATACTCTTCAAAAAAAGAAACGCATCGTAGAATTTTAGTGACACATTGAATATAAAGATTATTTAGTAAAACCATGCATTGATAAAACAGAAATGTGGTAAGCAACAGGAACACTATCTAAATTTCATAATTACTCAACAATTTTAAAATTATAGTCAGTTTAAGAGCATTGAAGATCAATATCTGGTATGCCCCCCGCAGACACAAATGATAGCCACAAACGGCATCTAATGGAATCAAGTGTGTGTAATAAAAATTGTATAGGAATACTCTCCCACTCCAAATGTAGTAATTTAGTCAGCTGTTGCAGAGTCTGGGGATGCGATTGTCTCTGGCAAATCATTTCAATCCATTTTGGCCAATGCTGCTTTATTTGGATTAAATCTAGCGATTAAGATGACTGTAACTGAAACAGGTTGTTGTTGTTTCTTTGCAAGTATAGGTGTGTCAAATGAGCCATTTGTGGCTGTATATTGTGAGATTGCAATCCATACGGCTCTAGGATGCTGCATAATTGAATGTGTATGTGTAGGTAGAACATGCTTAGAGTACCTTTTTCAATCAAAGTCCATTGAATTCGAACCAAACCAATCTTACTTTCTTATAATACCATTTTCCATATCATTATACTACCACCACCAACTTTTTTAACGTCCTGAAGGCAGTTATCAATCTAACCTTCATTAAAAAGCATTAGCACTCTTAAACTTATAAGAGGCTTTCAGATAAACATTCTGGACTATTAGGTTAACCAAAATGTTCAGCAGTGATGTTGTGGTCATACTCTATTAATCTGAGATCTTTGAAGTCGATATTTGGGGTGTTGTGTAGGGCTGGGCAATAATATCGATATTTCAATATATTGCAATACAGTGACAAAAAATATCGTATCGCAATACGATTTTGTAATATCGATATATTGGCAATATGCTTAGATTAAGGAATTTTGTCATTAAATATAAAAATGGATTTATAAAAGTTTGTTATTAAACCAAACAGAAAGTCAAAAGTTGTTTGTGGGAACATTTCAGAGCATAACTTAAATGAATTCAACAAGATTTTTTTCTGTGTTGGATACTTATCATA